CGAAATAAAACACGCAAAAAGAAGGTAAAAAGTAAAGTACATGGTCTTTGCAAGTGTTTAACTCAAACAATTTTCTCTACACGCACCTTTCACTTGAAAATAACTACAAGTTTCCTTGAATACCAACCGCGGACTTTATACAAACCGTACTTGAAAACTTGTACGCTTATTACGTGTATACATGCCAATTTTAGTTCACTACTTTTTTTTATATTTTGTTCGGTTTTACCTGTGTATTTAATATTGTCTGTTATTGAGTTTCACGTCAACATGTCATTTTTTTAATAGAAAATAAATAAATTTATTAATCATAATAGGTTGATTCCCCATACAAACTTTCATCCCCATTTTCACCCCCTTAAGGGATGATTTCCGGGATAAAAAGTGTCCTATGTCCTTCCCAGGGTCTCAAACTATCTTCTTACCAAATTTCATCTAAATCGGTTCTGTAGATCCAGAGATTACCCCCTACAACGTCACAAACTCACAAACTTTAACCCTTTATAATATTAGTATACTCGTAGATTATTACAAAGACACATTTTTAATGACTAGGGTAAATGAATTCAATTTATTTGAAAATACCTTTTTTTAACGTTGGGAAATGCATTTACGCACGAGGTGTGGGACTCACCGGCAAAGCCAGTACTACCCACTAAAACCCAACAAAACCTTCCCCCGTCTTAATGGGGCGTCGCAGGATCGCTTACGCATTCAACTACGACGCCCCGACGGTAGGTCTGCCGAAGCAGACCACAACAACCACGGGGTTGCTCCACAGTCCACTCTGCTATCAGAGAAGTACCAGGAGCAACCCGCATGGTACACTGCCCTCCGAAGAGGGCCACCTCCCACCGCCCACCGAAGTGGGCCACCTCCCTGTGTGTTTCTTGGCTTCGCGCCCGGTTGGGTTGCCGGGCACTACTGAGCCCCCCCACCACGACAAGGTGAACGCACGTTGGGGGGGTTATTTGAAAACACCTAATTTTCATCGATTTTACTGTTTTAATGAGCATAAGTGTTATGTTAAATCCGTATTAATATTATAAATACAAAAGTTTGTAAGTATGGATGTTTGTTACTCTTTCGGTTTCTTACTTCTTTCTTTTAGTTACGAACAGCTGAACGGATCTGGATGAAATTTGGGACAGAGATAGATTATAATCTGGAATAACACGTAGGTTACTTTTTATCACGGAAAAATGTACGGCTCCTGTGGGATAGGTTTATTTTTGTATTCCTAGAGGCAAACCCGAGCGAAGCAAGAGTAAGCCGCTAGTTTACTATTAAATTAAAATAGATATGGTCAAGTTATATCAATTTTATATCAATATGTAAGTTAATATGTTTTGAATACTAACACGTAATTATGCCGTATATAATAAAAGTAGGAAATATTCTAAATAATTTATGCACTGACCGACCACCACTTAGTGCTCAGTGCAAAATCTTAGACTATCTTGAGTTTACATAACATTATTAAACAAGTTTTGCATATATACGCGTTATAAAAACATTTTTATGTTAGTAGATTGTGTAATATGAAATTTCATATCAAAAGGATGACACAGCTTTTTAACTTAACAAACAGGTTGTAGTTTTTAACTTAACAAACATATAAGTAGGTATATCTGTTCTAACTCATAAACTTTGTGACAATTATTATTCGTTAGTTTCATTTAAAAAAAATTACTTCATGAAAAGTATAGTACTAATAGTAATAGACCTTATAAAAGTTAAGTTTGTTAGTAAAAAAAAGTTTTTGCTCATGGCGTCATAATAAATATTTACATCGATAAATATTATCTACCTAGTACAAAAGCTATGTATTCAGCCCTTTTTAACGTCCCACTGCTGGGCAGGACGCGGCCTCTCTTCAGTACGAGGGGAATCAGGCCATAATCCACCACGCTGGCCAAGTGTGGGTTGGCGGGGTGCTATATAATTGGGAGTTTCATAAAAATCGATATTTTTTTCTAAAGTGTTCCCTATTTCCTTAAAAGTCAAGGACCTTTAGAAGCTTACACGTGGACTGAATTGCTATAAAAAATAAATTCAATACAGGGATTTTTTTGTAGTTAAAAGGTAGTAATTAAATTAATATGACTAAGAGCAAATTTTTTTGATAGTCAGATAACAAAATTATTTGATTGAAATTTAAATATGACTGAAATCATTCTTCATATAATTTTCAAATAGATCTAAAACATTCAAATAAAATAAGCACGATACCACAACTAAGTATAAATATAATTATAATAAATACTTCACGCTTCACGTCGTTAATCTATACAGATAAATAAAATTGAATTGTCTGTTTGTAATGTCAAAATAACAGCTTTCTATAAAATGCATATGGAATTATACACGGTATTTATAAGAAAAACACAATTTTGAAATTTTTTGTCTGTCTGTTTGTTCCGGCTAATCTCCGAAACGGCTGGGCCGATTTTGACGGGACTTTCACTGGCGGGTATTTGATGTTATAAAGAGTAATTTAGGCTACTTTTATTTTAGTAAAGGAATTAGGGTTCCGCTCAAAAAAAATGTATGTATGTAGTACATAAATTCAACGAAACACTTTGGTTTCGAGTCAAGATTTCTTAGAAATATAAGAATAGATATTGAATAAAAAATCGTTACTCTTTATTCATAAAAATTTACTTAACATTATAATTCTAGAAAAAAATATAATAATATCTCTAATTTTTGAAGTTCTGACGAACATTTTCTTTTATGTGTATTAATTACTTCTTTACGCTACGGCTTGTAACGGCTCAACAGATTTTGAGTGAAATTCGGAACAGGGATAATTATTTTACTGCCTATTTCTTAAACATAGACTATTTTTATTGATGAACCGAATAAATAGAGACGCGCTCAAAACTTAGTAGAATAAGTAATTTATTATTAACTAGAGGCTCATCCTCGCTTCGCTCGGGTTCGTCGCTAGGTACGTTTTAATTAGATATAAATAGTTATTAGCCAGCGTTAGCCATATATATTATTTTTTTGTTAATAATATTGACAAATATTAATATTTATACGATAACGTCACTCAATTGTTTGCCTTCCCGGAACCTCTCCACTAACGCTTAAACTTTATGGTATAGTATTAAAATTCAAATTGACTTTTAAGTATTATTACGCATCTTTTGTATGGGAGTATAGAAAAGTGTTGTTTTTAGACTTTTTTAGGCAATTTTTTTATTTTTTCTCTCCGTAAGAACTATTCTCGTACTTCAAGGAATATTCTAAAAAAAGAATTAGCGAAATCGGTTCAGCTGCTCTCGAGATTTGCGCATTTTTATATTATAGATTTTGTGTGTAAAAAAATATAATTTTTTTACACATAACTATGCTGGAATTAAAATGTAAAAAAAATTGAAAATGTTCATAACCAAAAAATAATCCTTTGTGTACATAAATAATTAATAGATTATTATTTATAGTATAAAATCGTCTTTTGTTTTGTGTGGTTAATTTTAGTATCTATTTTTTGTCTTCCTTATATTATATCAATAATACAATTTTTTAGTATGTGAAGCCACAGTAACATTATCAATAGTAAATTGTGTTTAGATTAATTGAAATGAAGCCCGCTGTATCGCAACGGTGGAAGGTTTTGTTCACTCATTCAAACAGTTTTATCCCTCATAAAATGTCCTGAAGAAATATCATTGAATCTTGTAGAAAATTATATATTTTATATTTGAGATTTTGAAATACTGCTAACAAAAGCAGTATTAGCATCATAAAGTTATAAAAATATTTTAGTAAGTAAATTTAGTATACAATAAAAGGGGATAGTTATTAAAATTGAAAGATTCTACACAATAAAAAATATAGATTTATTTAATTTATTAAGATTTATGTCGAAAAAAATTTCTGTTCTAGGGACGCAGCTAAGCAGCTGCCACTATATATTTTTTTTAAAAGGGTTTTATTAATTACTTATTAATTATAAAATAAATTATATTTAAAGACAAAAAGTTTTATAAGTCTTGATCAAGATCGCCATTGCGTGCACAACTCTTAGTCTAAGTTTAAAAAAAAATCCGATGAATTGAGAACCTCCTCCTTTTTGGAAATCAAAACAAAGGTTAACACTTTCGGCCCAGCGCCGCCGTAAGAAGATTCTCGCATTGTGACACACCGTTTCCCCATACAAATTGGATTTACGTTGATAAACGTTGTGCTCTTCATGTGTGCAAGATTAATTTTTGATGCGGCACAAACGTTCAGAGACGTCGACGTTTATAACGCTGTGTCACATATAGTTCGAGTATTTACCATAAGCTAGAGAAAAACGTCAAACACGTTAACATTAATAAACGCTGCGTCGCATACAGTCAATATAAGGTATAGACGTTGCGTTACTGAAAGTGAATTATGTTTATGTAAAACGACTATCAAAGTCCTATCACGTTGACGTTTATGAACGTTGCGTCTCAAACAATATTTTAATTTTATATAAGAAAGAACTACGTCTTATCAAGTTGACGCTAATAGAAGTTGCATCGCATTCTGTACATATTTTTTTAAAATTAATCTAAGAACTTTCAATGACGTCGACGTGAAATAACGCTGTACCGACTAATATTCAAATAATATCATAATAAGATGAACAACGCCAGTACACGTTGTCGTCATCGTGAATGTCTTTTACATTCAAAGTCATTACTTCTATAGAAAGGCAGTAATAAAAATAGCTATTTAGAAAATAAAAGAATTTTATTATTATATGAATATTCTTATTACAGAAAGCACGCTTCGAGATCAAGCTATACAAAAAAGAGCTGCAAATTAATAAAAATTAAAACGAAAATCAACTCTGAATATATTCTTAGGTCTTTGTGCTACAATAATTAAAGTTTTTTTTACTTAACTTATGCATAAAAGTTTAATTATTATTTACTAAAGGAACTTTTTAATATCACTCATCGTGGTCTACCAGTCTTGATATATAGTTAATCAGTTTTTGTTTGATATACTCATTATTCATTTGAAGGTTGCCTGTGCCACTCTTCAAAACAAACGGCACATAGTGCTGGCTTCTCCCTACAGCCTTTGCATCTGAGGCTAGTTTCTCTCCTTATCTTCTTCTTGGAACACATCTTGCATTTCATATAACAGCTACTTTTTTTAGAGGTTTCCCTTACGGGAATCTTTTCAGGCCAGTGACCATTATTTTCAATATTTTCTTTAGCGGGTAGTTGTGAAAAGTTCGCTCTTTCTTTGAGACGATTGTCAAATCTGTGTCTATTTATCATCATTTCAGGTTTTAGTTTGGAGGCAATTTTATGAGTATTTTGATCAAGTCTTCTCGAAAAATAGTAAATTCATACGCTTTGTTATTATTTTTACAATATTTTCTATAAATATAAAAACTATTCCAGACGGCAAGGTCAAGAATATGGAAAAATACCTTTTTATACCACCTCAGTGTCTTCCGGGGTGTGGAATAATAAGAGATCATTTGATCCACTCTATCAATGCCTGACATGAATTTATTATAGGTGGCAACTTCTAGGGGTTTCATTATTTTCTGGCCGTGTCTATTGGAAACTTCTACTAGCTGTGGATGATTTAGAGTTGTCACCATATGAACCGATCTTTTATCTTGCCATTTTGATACATAAACTTTATTTTTGCGGACCCAAAAATGTTCATTCTTCTTTAGTTTCTTCTTCATCAGTTCTTTTGGATTGTCTTTTCTATTAGACCTTAGAGTTCCGGCAGTATGCGTTTTTAAATTCAATAGTTTTTGAGAAAGAGAAACGGAATTATAGTAATTGTCCATAAAAAGATAATGTCCTTTTAATAAATAAGGCCTCATAAGTCGCATTACAAGTTTTTCAGTCTTTTTACCTTTGTCGTTGTGATTCTCATCCTCTTTTCCGGCATACATAAATATATTAAGAACGTATCCTTCAGATGAAGTTAATTCGTAGAATTTTATACCATACTTGGCTTTTTTACATTTTATATACTGCCTGAAAGATATGCGTCCTCTAAATAAAAGCATCGATTCATCTAGCGACAGTTCTCGTTCTGGTTTGTAACATTCACGAAAATTACTTGTTACAGCATCAATGAATTTATTAATTTTATCTTTTCCTTTAGCATGTCGCTCAGAAACACATAAGCATCTCAAAATTTGTTCGAACCTTCGTGCGGACATAATGTAATGAAAAATCGGATGATAATATAAGGGATCAGTATATGTAAAGAGTTTTTTCCTTTTTGGGATATTTACTTGCCCCATTAGTAAACATAGGCCCAAAAACTTTTTGATTTCTTCGGAATCTGTATCTTTGTAACGGTAATTGCGTGAGTTTCTAGTTGTCGGTCTGTTTGTGGAGCAAAGTGCCCTTCCATACTCATTGGTAGAGGTAACTATGTGCTCTATAATATATGGTGGAAAGATTTTATCGAAAACGTCTACGACTGAAGCATTTGGGTCAAGTTCAAATTGGTAACCTGTAAAAGTACTTTCAAAGTTAAACATTGGTATATCTGCTATAGTGTCTTCCCAATTTTCAATTGGAGAAGTTGTCCGTTGCTTTGGTCCTCGTAGCTTATCTGTCAGTGCTTCTCGATTACGACTGTGATCGTGAGAAGCTCCGGGCGTCGGGTTGATTTCCACCCTTAGTGGGCTTGATGAGGGTGGTGGTGATGTGTGCTTCTCCATTTCTGTCTCTTCATGTGATGGCAAATGAGTGGGAGAGTGCGGCTGATCGTACCTTTCTGCAGTCAGTGGCGCCGGTGAAAAGATGCGTGTTGTTGGGTAAACATCTTCAGCTACAAGCAACGGTAAACCAGTCTCTGATTGAACTTCTTGACATACGGACGTACAGAGAGGCGGTGGGGACAAAGCGGGCAATGTTAGATACGTATTGACATCAGAAAACGAGGGAATTGTAGCAGATATTGAATCATTTATTTGTATATCTTTAAGCAGCTGCGGTGTTGAAGATCCGTGGTTCTCTTCTGTTTCAGCAACTGGCGGGGGCGGAAGCGGAGCCACGTAATTAAACTGCTCTGTGGCTTGTGGCGAAAGTGAAGGTGTTACAATATCATGCATTTCTAGAGGTAGTGAGGCAGGAGGTAGGCTATTTTCCAACTCAACTGGCATCAGCAACCCAGGAAGAGATTCCATGGAAACAGTGTCTGCATCGTTCGTATGTGTACTATGATTACATGAAGCAGTTTTTCTTTGACTAATGCGAGCACTGGTATCGAAAATACTTTCGGAACTACTTGAGCATAGAGAATTCTCAGAACTGGAAGGACGTTGGCAACTTACTGAGCTGTCGCTGTCGCTGTCGGTATTTATGGGTTCTGGATCATAATCCTTGTCAGAACCGTACTCTCCGTCATCACTGAAAGGATCAGGAGTAACTTCCCGAGACGAAGAATCTTCGAATACCTTCAGAAACCCCTTACTGCAAAGACGCTTTTTATCCATCTAAAACAATATTAAAATTAAAATATATCAACTAATTATTATAATTATACAAAAATAAATGTAATATACATTTAAATATAAACATTTATTTATAATTATTATTAAAAATAAACATATTACATAAAACTTACGGTTTATCGTTCACTTCAATACGGTCGAGCGACGTTCGCGCAGCACGCGCTCCTCTTGATGCGGCGCAGAACGACTGAAGCTAACCGCGTCGCTACTCCCCGCGACGTGTACGGACGTTGTGGGCATGCGCATGTGAGCATGTGTGCGCGTGACGGATGTTAGCAAAATGTCACTAAAAGTTGATTCGTTGCGGCAGTAGACTTTTGAAACTTCCAAACGATGCGGCGCAAATATCTATTTAGTAGAATATCGTATTGACTCCTGACGTTATGAAACGTAGGGCGAATAAATGCACATTTAAAGTAGACGTGACTAGACGTTGTGTCAATTATAAATTTCTAATTTTGCCGTCATAAGACGTTGCTGGCCCGAACGTGTTAATAAAAACTTAAAAAAACCGGCTTCCAGGTACTAAAATGTAAAAAATAACTAAACGGAGGTTTTCATTTAGAATAGATACTAAATCAGATATTTTCGAAGTCGGTGCCACCAAACAATCTAGTGTATTTTATAAACGCTAATGAGAAAACTTCTATATCAAAATGTTTATAATATGGCATACATTTATGTTTATTTCACTTGCTAAAAATTTGTGCCACTGCAAAATTTTATTAAAAGTGATGAGTAATGAATTCTGTATAACATTGCTAGTTTTTACTCTTAATTAACAGTAATTTAAAAATTAATGTTAAAAATATTAAAATAGCTATACGACAGTGGTAATTCAGTGGTAAAGCGCTCGCTTATGAAACACAGTGAAGCGGGTTCAAATCCCAGGTCTCGTATCTCTGATATTTTCATGTGCGAATTATTTCCAACATGATGAAAGAACCTAGCAAGCTTTCGATTATCATGTAAAGTCCGCCAACTCGCACTAATCCAACGCGGTGGAGAATGGCCTGATCCCCCACGTATTGAAGAGAAGCCAATGCCTAACCAGTGGAACGTTAAAAAGGAAGGCTTAATATATTATTCATTTATAACATTATTAAAATATTATTATTATTTATTATTCTACATTTAATGACAACTTAAGATTTCATTTTTCTTAAACCTCATAATATACTCCTTATTTTTAAATTCGGGTATCCGTTTTTACATGTGTATGTTTTGCAATATCTTCGCTAATTGCAAATCGATATTAATTACTCTTTCTTTAAATAAGTTACTTTTACGGCAGGGGTTAGCCGAAAAAAGAAAAAATCTAAATAAAAGGTTAAGGCAGAGAATAACTAAGTCCCTCCTCGCCCGCCTCTCGACTCCCTCCCTCCCTTCCCCTTCCCCCGCCTACCCCCTCCTCTATTAAGCAGACACGAAAATTTATAAATTAAGAGAAATAAACCTAGTTCATTAATATATAAAACTAAATTAATATATAATAAATAAATTTTAATAAAAAAGTTAAAAACTGTCTATTAGAAATAAAAATAGTTGATTATATTTCTCAATACATTTTTGGGCAAATGCAAAACAATATAGGTATAACAAAATGGAACAAATTATTTTCTAATGTTAATTACAGTATGCATTATGACTAAACCAAAAAATTGACAATGCTAAAAATACTATTATAGAGATCTTAAATAGTAATTTATACGTTCAGGAAACGACCCCAGTACACTCAGTGTAGGAAGTATTAGCTACAGGCTTGCTTTTGCACACTGTCCCAATCTAAAATTGGCTTTAATTGTTATTTAAGCTCTCTACTATGAAGGTAGAAAGAGAAAGATCTACCTTTTAGTATGGAATCAACGAGTAATTTAGAGTACATTGACAAGATAAAATATTAGGTACGGACATAACGAACTTATCATATTTTACCAACAATTAAATGGACTCTTTGTAATCTCAAACCTAAGCGAGGTGTTATTTTATCACTTATATACTTATACTTCACTTATATACTTATACGTACATTGGTCTTGTAATGTAAAAACGCGAACCGAGGTTCTTTAAGTATTATTTGTAGTATTCAAAATATATTTAACCTTATCTCTTTGAATGCAATGATTTCAAGACGTGCTGTAGAAACCGCTATCCACATGTAACGTTTCAACGTCGCGTCTGTGAAAAGTGGACCAAAATTTGCTTTTTTCTTTTTCTCTGTCTTATGTAGCTTTATTTCATGTACAATTTGAATTTCTTAAATATTTTAAACTATTAATTTGCTATTATTTAAAAAACAAATTATTAACACTATTACCTATTATTATCATTTGTAATTGTTGTAGTAGTGTTGCTTAATAATTTGTTTTTTAAATAATAGCAAACGAATGTGACCATGATTGCTGTAAAGCATTCGAAACGACGGAAATCAAAAATCCAAATCCGCGAAAAAGTGCGAAAAGATAGTTTTATTTAAAACTTGGACATGTTTGAATCCATATTTTTTTTAATATGTCCTTTTTTTTCTAATTTTATTCAAAAACGCAGTTTTTTTTCCTTTGTGACACATCGGCCAAAATTCCTACTCCTACACAAGCGTTTTAAAAATTCGTACACGAAAGTATCAAAATATCTTTAAAGATTAAATATCTCTATAGAAAGAATATTTTTATAAGTAAAAATCAGCATCAGGGTAGTTATTTTCAACACTGGAAGCCACATAAAGCGAAATGAAATGAATCACAATTTACTAATGCATTGTACATAGAGCTGTAAATAATCATTTGACTGATTAAAAAGTAAGTTGAATGAAAATTAACATTTAACAAATAACACTACGTTTCATAGAAACATAAATATATATACGTTAAGTGCAATAATATATTATTTTTACGAACCTAGATACTAATTGTAAAGGGTCTCGACTGCCTTTGCTCATGAAAACTTTTGTCATTCTAATAATATAACTGCGAAATATTAGACGTGTAACATATACATTCCTACATGTGTAGACCTTAAAACGTATTATTTAACTAGCACCTCACCCTCGCTCCGCTCTGATTCGTCCCTACTTACGTTTTGACGTTTAGTATAGATTTCTCAGAAATGAGATATTTTCCCATAATAAAAAGTATCATTCCTATAAATGTTGACCCGGTTAACCAGCTATTATCATACCAAATTTCATCAAAATTCCTCCAGTGGTTATTCTGTGATGCGGTAACAGACAGACAGACAGACAGACAGACAGACAGACAAAAATTCTAAAAACTATAGATTCGGGCTCTGTGTCGATAATAATATCTATTTCAATAAGATTTTCCAAAAAATATTTCATGTACAGATTCAGCTCAGTTAGAATTTTATTATATGTATAGATTTGGCGTACACTGACCATGTACTGGGCTAACACAAATGATTACTCTGAGAAGAAAGAGTTGCAATTGTTTCAAAAATAAGCTTATCTTTTCGTTCCTTATTCTTTTATGAAAATAAGTAAACTTGCTATACTGCTTAAATGCAATTTTGGATTTAATAATAAACTTTAAATCATCCCTTTTGACATCCCACTGTAGAGTACAGACCTCAGGGGATTAGGCTCAGGATATCTAATACTGTGCTCTTAGACATGCAGGCTTTCTCCCCATATTAGCAAATTGTGATTATAAATGAAAATAATACAGACATGAAAATCTAACAGGTGCAAGACTTGGGTTAATCGATCAGAAAACTCGTTTCTTTTGTTCAGGTCGATTTTGAAAGGACAGGTCTTTAAAAATGAGATAAATGCTTCTAAATGTTTCAAAAATATATGTTAATAATGTTGAGTAGTTGATAGAATATGTTTGATACACGCTCAGATTGTTATAGAAATATTTTTGTTTCTTTATACCTAAAAAGTATTTCTTTATACTCAACATCAAAGACGTTCCTTATAAACAAAAAAACTCTACTTTGTTAACTCTGCTAAATATTCAAGAGCACTTTGATCACGGCGTAACTGATTGATTATTATCAGCACTTAGATACTAGAGAGCTGTCCTTTTTAAGGATTCGATAAAGTAATTGAGGATAAAATAAAAATAATGGCTCTCTACAACTCTTGAAAAATCCTTTATTAACATTCACCCTAAAATGACTTATTGAGTAATTGTTTATGCAAGATTTTTATTTATTATATATTTATGTATATTCTGCATTAATTGTGAGTATTTCTATAACATATAATAAAGCCCAACTTGCCTTACTAATGTTATAAATTGCAAAATGTGCTTGCTACTTAGCCTTCCTTTCTCAAAGCAAAGGAATAATGCATGAGGGTCGCTTTTTATGAAATAATGAATAGAACTTCCCTTCTTTTTAAAAAATAATATTCTAATTTAATAGAATGCCACTAAAAATTGAAGAAAATCTAGTAGAGACCCAGTTAAGATGGTACGTGATAAGGACAGAAGACGACATGACCAGAAAGGTACTGGTTAACATGACACAGATATACAAATTCTGGAAGATCTCTTTTAACTTGGATAATATAAATTACAAACAAAAATCTAAATATTGCACAATTAACAATCTTAACTTAGCCAGGATTAAAATAGCTGGATAAAAATTTACTCGAAAGCCAAGCAAGACAAACAGGATAAGGCTAGACGATAAGAAAGTACATAGTGGCTTCAAGAAAATTTATTTTACCAAATTCAATTAAACTTTGTCCCATCTGTTGAAGTTTGTCTAATATGACGAGTGACAACATTTTACGTTGTTTAAAAAGTCAACAGAGGTTTGTAAATTAAATTAGTTTTGTCTCTTTCATTAGTTAGAGAACAATAAAAATAATACATAAAACACTTTAAAATATTTATATACACTATACATATACAGTAAGTATAAAGCGGACTCATCGCTAATTATCGATTTCTTACAAACTACCTTTGGGTTAGGAAATATTAAAGGTAATACAGAGTGGGTGGTGTAAATACAACCTTATACTTAGTAACACTACACATACATACACACATTCATATATATATATATATATATATATATATATATATATATATATATATATATATATATATATATATCGTGAAGTTCTCGTTGATTTTGTAGTATAAGAAGCTTAATTAGATACCTAAAATAAAATTTATTTACAATTTTTTACCCAATGCCGGCCAAGCAGCTGATAATGCTAATATGAATATTACATTCTTTCTATTACAATCATTTTCCTTTACTCAGTAGCAAAAACAAAGTTGCCGTGTGCGCTTTGAGTGATACAACGAATGTATAGCCATTAAGGCTGTCTTCAACCACGTTAAAATGTACTTTAATATGTTATATTAAAAAACAAGGAAACTAAGCCAAAAACACCTATTAGGTTTTGATAGGCAGTGATAGGTTAGTGGTAACGCACTCGTCTGAGGAAATCGAGTAAAGCGGGTTCAAATCCCGGATCTCGCACCTCTGAAATTTTCATCTGCGAATTATTTCTAACATGATTACCACTTGCCTTACGGTGAAGGAAAAACATAGTGAGGTAACCTGCGTGTCTGAGAATACCTAGCAAATTTTCGAAAGACATGTAAAGTCCGCCAATCCGCACTTGGCCAGCGTGGCGGACTATGGCCTGATTCTCCTCGTATTGAAGGGAGGCCCGTGCCCAGCAGTGGGATGTAAAAAAGGACTGAATACAGTGTTTGACAACCAATTTTTTTTAATATAGACAAACAAGAAAATTGTTGTGAATTAACCGTAGCGTTACCCACAGACAACATATTAACTATATATAGCGCTTCAAACACACTCAGATTTCCCTTGTGACATACGACCGACGATGCTACTACTCGAGTATACAAAAATTTAGTTATAATAATCACAGTAATTAATTAGCCTTTTAATGAGCTGTAAGTCGCTCATTTTTAACTTGAATTCAAAATAAGAAAATACATATATTAGAATTACAATCGGACTACAAATTTAATTGCAAATTCACATTCTACTTAAAAAAAGCCGAAAAGGTGTATTTTATCTATACATCTATAATCTATTACCTTAGAAATAAAGCTTTGTTTTTAAAGTAGAGGGAAAAAACTCTATTCCAAAGCACAACAAGTATAGGTAGTTTGAACAAAAAAGCTCAGGCGACGAAGTGGCTAATGGATATATAAAAGAAGAGAATATAATATAACCATTGTTAAATTAAATAAGCACATTATTAAGAGATAGAGTTGGTAATGTAAATAGCCTGTCGCCTGTCAAGATCCCTCGGCACAGACCGACACTTCGTTGATGGGATGTTCGCCCGTCCAGAATAATCGTTCATTTTCCTTATTTTGATTTTCCCTAACTCTATTACAGCCCATGTGCTAGGCAAGGTTAACGTTTTCATTTAGCCTCCAGCTTTGATCTAATATTAAATTATTATGTCATCCATTCTGATAAGACTTATATTTATAGACCAAAATCCGAATTCTTAAGTTTTACATATATTAGTTTCCTCTTACATTGCAGTTTTTGTATTTTTTCTCAGAAATAAGATATTTTCCTGTGGTAAAAAGTATCCTATATGTTGACCCGGATAACCAGCTACAATCATACCAAATTTCATCAAAATCCTTCCAGTGGTTTTTCTGTGTTTTACGGTAGGTAACATTGTAACTAAGCCGAATCTATACATTAAATATGTTTTGGAAAATCTTATTGAAATAGACATTATTATCGACACAGAGGTCGAATCTATGGTTTTTAGAATTTTTGTCTGTCTGTTACTGCATCACAGAAAAACCACTGGAGGGATTTTGATGAAATTTGGTACGGTGATAGCTGGTTATCCGGGTCGACATATAGGATACTTTGTACCGCGGGAAAATATCTAATTTCTGAGAAAAATACAAAAAGTGCAATATAAGAGTATACTTATATGTAAAACCTAAAACTTAGTTTTTGGTCATCTGAACACGGGCAGAGCCGCGGCCAATGCTAGTTTAAAAATAAAATATTCACAAATTCAAGTAATCGTGATATTAAAATCATTATACCTAGTTAAAAAGCACCTTTATGTAACATACCTACGACTCTTAAATTAAAAAAGTTTGCGGACTTTACTAAGAGCAATTTACGATTTTTATGATCGAATATTATATTTTTTTAACATAAAAGCTACTTTAGCATACAAAATAATAGGAATTACGTATTATTATTAATATATTAGAATTTTTCATGCTTTTCTCCAAAGCTTTTATGTTATTTTATTGAGAGCTTAAAAATTAATATATAATTAATCAATAGTAAATTATTATTGTTGCTTATTTAACATTAAATATTAAATTTTGTTATTTGAAGTACTTGTTAGTAAAATTTTGATTCAAAGTTTTTACAGTATGTATATTCCGAAAATAATATTTTCAATTATAGCATTTTTCAATATTGAATGAGTACTTAAAATAAACAAGAAAATTGCCAAATAAATAAAAACAATAACAGTATGATCATGATTTTAATCTTCTCATTCCATTAGTTGATTAACAAAACATTATTTATTCAGTTTAATTTATTTTTTATAACTTTATCGATATACGAATACATTCGTATAATATTTTTTTGAAAAAGCGCCACCTATACCATAACTGTAAAACCGCGTGAAAGCCTCACGTAGTATAAGAGATAGGAAATAGATGGTAGTATCGCTATCACTACATTGTTAAGTAACGACATCTAGCAAGAATTGTAAACATGATACTCACTGTAATTTAACGTTTTGCATTGTCGTTTCCATCAATATGAAATTATGGTTTACGGTTTAAGAAATTTATTTCTCAAAAGGATTACAAAATTCACTTACGGAGAAATTACATATATATATATATATATATATATATATATATATATATATATATATATATATCGTCGGACAAATCACTTCATAACTTATTTACTATTGAGTTATTTACTTAGCATTATACAGAAACTTAACATATAGCTTAAGTCACATATTTTGCTTTAATTTTACGAGTATAAACTTAAACACATTATACCAATATACTAGCATTGCCCGCGGCTCCGCCCGCGTTCAGGTTACCAAAAACCAAATTCTTAGATTTTACATATTAGTATACTCTTACAATGGCAGTTTTCGTATTTTTTCTCAGAAATGAGATATTTTTCCGCGGTAAAAAGTACCCTATATATTGACCCGGATAACCAGCCAATACCAAATTTAATCAAAATCCCTCCAGTTGTGTTTATGTGATGCGGTAACACACAGACAAAAATTCTAAAAACTATGGATTCGGCCTCTGTATCGATAATAATGTCTATTTCAATAAGATTTTCCAAAAAATATTTAATGTACAGATTCGGCTTCGTTACAATTTTATTATACGTATAGATTAAAAATTAAAAATTAAGAGGGTAGTATCAACTGTTTCGACAATAAGTAACATTAAGCTAGTTCCACAGTACACATGGAGGAGGGTGACTATATTGAATTAAAATTTGAATAAAAAATATGTATATGTTTTTATTATTATTATTTTTATTAGGTAATTAGTAATTAAGTACGTATACTACGTAAGGTAAATAACATAACATCATGTTAATAACATACCGTTATTAGATTATTATTAACTAGCGACTCATCCTCGCTTCGGGTTCTTCCCTAGACAAAAATAAAACTGTCCCACGGGAACTGTACATTTTTAAAAAGTATCCTATGTGTTATTCCAGACTATAATCTATCTCTATACCAAAATTAATCTATATCCGTTCAGCCGTTCTGACGTGAAAGAGTAATAAACATCCGCCCATCCATCCTCACAAACTTTTACATTTACATATTATATATTATTATGGATTGTAACTCCTAAGTAGATCCAGAATATTGGCTATATCCATTCATAATTTTACTTAAATCTCGACCATTATAGAGTTAAGATGTAACAAATACAGTGAATAGATCACAATTTCTTGCATTTATTTCATTAGTAAGCCCTTAGGTTTGTTGTTTATTCAATTCAAATCTTTTATTTCATGGCTTCTAGGACTTGTTGTTTATTTGACCTCGTTTAGTTTTGGGGCCTTTCAATGTCACATTAACGCTGTTTGACACTATGCCAAAAAATGGTTTAAACAATTAACATTAATAAGGTAATTTGTTGTGTTAAGTAAGAAATGATAAGATTTATAATAATTATAAATAGACAAGTTTTCTTACTATCAAATCTTTCAATATTTTTTTTTTTTTTTGTTTTAAACAATTAACATTTATAAGTTAGTTTGTTGGTGTTAAGTTAGAAATGATAAGATTTATAATAATTATAAATAGACAAGTTTTCTTACTATCAAATCTTTGTATGTGATAAAAATACATTTTGATATATTTCGATGTTTTATTAAACAATTTTTTAGATCAATTTCTATTACGTCTACGTCTTCGGTGTACCTTTTGATGTATTATTTTGACCCTAACTATAACAAGTGCGAGTCGAATGCGCACACGAAGGGTTCTGTACCATCGTACATGTATTTTTTATTAATATGACTTTTACTCTATATAAGTATGTAGTATATTAGTTTTGATTATCGATTACGACCGTAAAAAAATGTTTCTTGTTTTTTTTTATTACTTGTTGTTATAGCGGCAACAAAAATACACATTATGTGAAAATATCAAGTCTCTACCTATTACGGTTCATGAGTTACAGCCCTCTGACAGAGGAACAGACAGACGAAAAGTAAAGGCATAATAATATGGGCGGGTTCCGTTGGCACCCCCCGGGTACGGAACCCTAAAAAAAATTTTTTTAATTTAAAATGATGAAGATTTTGTGGTGACTATACACAAAATCGGCTTTCACTGGGAATCCTAAAAATTGACAATTCATAAATAAGTATTATGAACTAGCGACATACAAAGATATTTTTATTTAATTTTGGGCCAAGAACATTCGCGGGCGTACTTAAGACTCACCAAAGTTTCATTACAATCGGATCAATAGCTTAGAAACGCATAGAGGACAAACATACAAAGAAACATTTATATTTTCTAAATATATAATTAGGTATGACATAAAATATCAATATTCGATATATTTTCACACGCTCTTATTAGCGTCACTTGTAAGTAACTGCATATATAATCAGTCGTAGAAGTCGATTTTAACCTACATCGATTTGTCGTATTGATTTTAAGTTAAGTAAGGTTTTATAAAGCATGTAAGTAATAAATTGGATATAAGCGAGCCCATCTGATAGTAAGACCTCACGGCAGATAATAATAGACCTTTGTATACATATAATATACTCTATTAGAACTCTTCAATCTTCAACCTTGGGCGTTTTAGAATTGTTTTAATCAATGCCATATAAGAAGGTTAGTCAGAAGGAGGTTTTTTTTAATTTTTTAAAGTAATAATTTTATTTATGGATAATTTATTAGAAGCAGCAGGACCAGAAACAGTTTATCCCGATACATCACATGGTTAACGTGACAAAATAGTTGATTACACATAGTTATTTTTATGACATATCAATATAATTTTATGTTTATACATCTGTAAAGAATAAAATCCAACATTTTATCGAGTTGGATACAAGAAAAAAGCAGTTTGTTTTTTTTTATTTATTTACTTAAACGTGCTAGTTAGTCTTTGCCCGATTTAAAAATTATTTTAGAATTTTATAGCGTACTAGCATTGGCCGAGCTTCGCCCGCGTTCAGATGACCAAAAACCAAATTCTTAGGTTTTACATATTAGTATACTTTTACATTGCAGTTTTTGTATTTTTTCTAAGAAATGAGATATTTTCCCGCGGTAAAAAGTATCCTATATGTTAATCCGGATAACCAGCTATCACCATACCAAATTTTATCAAAATCCTTTAGTGGTTTTTCTGTGATGCGGTAACAGACAGACAGACGGACGGACAGAAATTCTAAAAACTATAGATTCGGCCTCTGTATCGGTAATAATGTTTATTTCAATAAGATTTTCCAAAAAACATTTAATGTACAGATTAGGCTTAGTTACAATTTTATTATATGTATATATTTAAGAAAAAATGTTGTACCTAGACGTCGAACATCACGCTACGACTTTTAGAAGTGGAGATATTAAATGATAATAAGCAAGCATACCCGCGGGATAAACTAGTGATAAATATTATGCAACCCCAAACAATGCGCTGCTCCCAATCCTGTTATATTTCAGTTAACGAGAAAATGCTATCGGATTTTTCGTGCCTCCATCAATTTTCGAGTCTCTAAACAATGGTCTATCACCGAACCGAATATTGATTCCCATTACTCTTAATGAGCTTTTGTACTGACAAGCGCGTAATTAAAAACAGTTACAAACAAAATACTCGAAACGTTTTAATTCACTAAATGAAATTTGAATTCCGCAAGCTGGAAATAATCTCATTGCGTTCGATCCGCGTTTTAATGATATTTCGTTTCATATTAAATATACATTAATGTATATAACAGGCCAGAGTCAGACTTGGAATTATAGTTTATAATAATAAAATATATATATATATATATATATATATATATATATATATATATATTTATTTATTTAATAATTATACATCTTACAATAAATTATTTTATTTAATTTTTATTCACTTAAAATACATGGTCTCATATCACTGCCTTTGCTCATTTTCTGGCGCCTACATTAAAAATCTCTCGATCTCCCTCTTTAAGCTGAATTAAATGATAGTTCGATAATTTCTAAAATGCACAGTGCGGAACTGGAATGGCCTACCTAAACGTCAATAAGCTGTTGCTTAGTGGTCTTTATCCTCTGTAACTACAAAGCTACTCGTACTTCACAATCAAATGGAATTTTCAACCGACTTCAAAAAGGAGGAGGTTCTCAATTCGACTGTATTTTTTTTTATGTTTGTCACCTCAGAACTCCGTCATTTATTAACCGATTTGGACAATTTTTGTGTTATTTGAAAGTGTATACTTCCAGATTGGTCCCATTTAAATTTCAAAAAATAATACCACCCCTAAGGCTTTGGCTAAATAATTAAAGCCTACCTATTAAATACATACCTAATAAAATATTTTCGAAATCGGTGCCAGCCCATACAAAGCAAAGCACACCGACTTCGAAAATATTTGATTAGGTATGTAGTAAATGAAAACGACCAATCAGTTACTTTTTACTTTTTAGTGCTTTTGTTTGAAGTCGGTTTTTATTTTTTTGTTAAAAAGTTTTTATTGTCAAACATTATCATTTTTGAGTTGATATTTGACTAAAAGCTCATGCTCCTCCACCTTTTTTCTAATCGTCAATGTAAATTGAATAGCTATAGCTTGAATTACATATTTTTTTCCTTTGTGATGGTTATTTTATATTACAAATTCATACACAGTCAAAATTACATATTAATTTAAAAAAACGCCAATATTAATGATGAATATCGAGCAAAGTGCTAGTCTGACTCACGCGCCGTGGGTTTCGTACTTATAAACACTAAATTATATTCTGTGTAAACTTACGTAATTTTAAGGCTATTAATTTAATAAATAACATAAATACATTTATATTTCATATTCTAGTATCTTCAAAATAAAAAAATGTCGCGGTCGCTTAATCAACAAAGCTAAAAGTATCTTTTATTTCAAAAACTACTCAACAGATTCACCAAAACAAATTTCATATTAAATATTAAAAATATTTTCCACTCCACATAGCATCATATATCTCAGCTGCTATTAGCCTAAATAAAAAAGTCCTTTAGAAACATCTACGAGTACTATTTTTAAAGATCGTGTGCTCATGTACCCTTAAAGCTTTTATTTTATTACATTTTTTATGTTTCGTAATTTGTCTACAGAATTTCGTTATTGTCAGCAGCTCATATGAGATACTTAGCAAATTTCAGCTGTATTGTACCAAAAGTCTTCAAATAGATTTGATCTGACAGACCAGCAAACAGAAAAAAATATTAATATTATTTATTAATATTAAGCTTATTAAGTATTAACAGTAACAATTTCAATTTATTTCCGAAGAAAAATCAAGGCACGAACTCACTACACAGCGGTGATTGTTTTATAGCAAAAAGTCGCTAAACTCAGCGAACAAAAGCAAAGTGCTTACTGAAAGATAACTCAAAAGCACGTCTAAAATTCTTACTATAAGATTTTAAATGGGAAGTGGAATAATGGTACTAAAATGGAGTCAAATTAATCTATTTTAATGTATAATCTGTGTCTAAACAAGGTAAAATAAATGGTATTAAAACTGTCTCGAGACAAGCAATGGGGTTCTGGTGCCCACATGATTTTTTCATGATTTTCAGCATTATTCAAAATTTTATTATAAGCATCTCAAACAAAACGCTATTAATATTCTAAATAATATTAAAATAAATGTAAATGCATCAGTTCTCCAGGACCTGATTAAGTGTTAAAAACAACAGAACGATACGCTTTGCACTAAGTACGATAAGTAGTAGTTGAGATACTAATTAGCACATATTGAAATAATAATATTTCGCACAGTTTCTAAATAATATGCACTTGGGATGATAGATTAGCTGGCATACTTGCTTTTCATAAACTATATATATTAAAAATCGATTGTATGTATGTTTCCTATGGACTCCATCAGGCAATCTTGAGATTAGCCCAGCGATCACTGTAAAGTTTGGTAGCATTCGGAAGCAATCTTGTGCTTGAAAATGACAAAGCTACGGTTTAAAATCTAACACTTTCTTAAGTTTTTATATATCCTTATCAACACAAAAAACCTTAGCTATAATTAATTATAAATGCGCTTAAAATTATTCTTAGCATGATTTATATATTCTAGTATACATAGTTAATTAAATATTTAACCCATAAGCAAATAGATACCAATACACACGTATATATTTGTAACCGAAAATATTACTTACACTTAACTAATTTAATAAAACAAAATATTTAAAATACCTTAATGGAAATCCTAATATATTAGGATAGAGGAATCGGAAATTAAAGCTTATCTTTGACCTTTAATATACACATGTCATTGCTACTTCGTCATACTTGGAATACTCGTACAGTAACTTATATCCCTGAGTTATATATTCCACCACTAGTTTCTATATTACTACTAACCGACTCATCCTCGCTTCGCTTTGGGTTCGTCCTCGTCCTCGTCTAGGTAAAAACAAATCTATCCCACGGGAACCGTACATTTTCCGGGATGATATATAGCCTGTAACCTTTATCAATAAACGGGCTATCTAATGCAAAAAGAGTTTTTCAAATCGGATTAGTAGTTCTTGAGATTAGCGCGTTCAAACAAACAAACTCTACCTCTTTATAATATTAGTATAGATTATCGCTCTATTTTATTTTTCCCTTCTTAATCTTTTCGTACATCACTACGACCATGTACTGATCACTTAACAAACTGCCTCCGTTTTATACATATATCATAAAACAAAGAACATTACAGTAACGGAAAATTCGAAAATATTTTAGTGATGCCATTTTTTCCGGGTAGCATTGTCTCTTTCCTATCCATGGCAATTTCTCATTATCTGTGCTCTGCTGTATGGTATGACAATTAACAATTATCATTCTTAAGCATGGCTCAGGTATAGTACACCTTGGAAATGCCATAGCCTTTAAAAAAAATGAGTACCATTCTTTGTTATAACTTTTTCTATAAAAGAAAGAGATCCAATAAAAAATTGTAATTTAGAAAAATAAAATAAATAACAATTGCTATTGTTATACATACAGTAATTATCAAACGATCTCATAAAACAGTGAAGTTAATCAAGAATAACTTAAAACAAACTTAATATTACAAAGTTTAGTAACTTACTTTAGTCGACTAAAGTTTACCTTTTCTAAGTTAATTAAATTATACCAGTACGTACAATTTTTTATTACTTTATGTTTGAATTAAATTCTTCAAAAGAGCCTAAGATACCTCTTCCCAAAATTGAATACATGTGCGAAATGGTATTTGACGTGAGGTCTATGTGGATTATTTGAGATATGACTTGTGATCCCTCTGTGGGAATGTGTTCAGAGTTTAACAAAATCCTCGATCTAATTGCAAGGGAATAAGTTTCATTTTTGTGTGTCATTTTTCTGTTATGAAGTGCAAGATACGTTTCAAATTTTCAAAGCATTAGACATTTTCTTTGTAATGAAATTGCTGAAGCATACTCGTACAATCAAACGTTTCAACAATTTTATGTCTGCAAATCTACTGTTTGAGTTACTACGAATATTTTTAATGTAATAAAAAAATATAAAATAAATTATATAAAAAAAATTAATTATTACGTTTTTAATAAATAAAGAATAAAGTTTTTGCAACAACTTAAAGTTATTTAAAGTTAAAGAGCAGAAGATACAAGTTATAACAAAAGCTTTTAATGAAGACGTTCAAAGCTTTTTCATAGTATAATAAAGAGAGTGACCGAGATGGCTACTCATTTGCATCCCGCAGGTTCCGTCCATAACAAACTTTGAAGCGGATTACAAGATAGACGCAAGGCGATCGTATACCTGTATATTGTACATAATAGTACATACCGAGGTCGGCAGCTCGTTTCCCGGTACTACATAAACCTGAGTATTGATTTTTACAATTTACGCAGATAGCTATTAGTTTACATACGAGCCCGAGCGTAAAACAATGAACTCGGCCAGGTTTTATTTTTGCTCGCTAATTACGTTTGCAGCGCGCTTCAATTTGCCGTACAAATTTCGGGCGCACAGTCTAAAAGGGTTTGCTTTGTTTACATGCGAGCTAGTAGAGGCTTCACCGCACCTAATTACTCCGTGTCGGCACCTTGAGACAGTCGGAATTCACCTGAATCGGCAGATGCGTCGCAGCTGTCGACCGGGCCAGTCCTCTCGCCCGCGCGCCCCGCCCCGCCGGCTCGCGCAATCGCGGCTAACAGTTTTATTTTCCCGAATAAACTTTATCAAACAAAGCGTGCGAGCCCCGCGCCCTGCATCTGCTCGCCCAGCTGTTACTCTTGCAGCTGGCAGGGCCGTCTCGCTCTAACCGGCGCGCCATTCATAAGTGCGAGAGAGACGCACGCCACTCAGTAATCGCATCGAGACCCTTCAATTCCCTGTGCACGGATCATTCGCAGTCCGTATCCCGACGCCGGCGGGCAAACAGCGAGAGATTATGACGAGCAAACGTAAGCGCGAACGCGAGAACGAAGCTGAACGACATGTGAAGCGTCAGCGGCGCCGCAAGCGGTCTCGTAGCGAGCCTTTGATGAATGACTCCGATAATGCAGAAAAACGTCAGGCACTCAAACGTTTGTTCGGAAGGATTTGCTCCGTGGAGATGGAAAATGAGCATCACGCTCCAGATGATGTGTTTGACAACACGAGCAACTACGAGCGGGATGCCTACGGTGACGAGAACGATGACCCATTGCTGGACTCGGTGCCTGTGGACATGGATCCGGAACAGCTTGGCTTTCTGGTGTGCGCTCAGGAGACGCTTCGGTTCTTGCACGGTCGCGGGATTCCTATTGAGCACCCAGTGTTCTCTAGGTTGCGCTCGCGCCTCCTGCGCGGGATTGGGGAGATGGCGATGGCCTGAGTGTTACTTGGCCCAGAGCCCGCAAGAAATTCAACTTCCTTCTAACTTCTTTTTCGGACACTCTTCTCTGCAGTGACTGTTCAGTGTCATCGGTGTGATCTTCCTATTTATAAACTGTTCTATTCCTATCTTCAGGGCTCTGGTTAGTGTTTAAGGTGTCTAAGAGTAAATTTAAATGTTGTCAAAGCAACAGGTGACCCATAAGGGTTTCTAGTCATTAATACTAGTCAATAATGAAATATATTTGTTAAACAAAAGAAGTATTGATATATTGAATGTAATTAAACCATTCGTCCACGAATATGTTGTTTTAATTAACCTTACACACCCACAAAAAAGTTATGCCAGGACTAAAAAAAACAATATTTTTATAAGTATCTCAATTTTGCTTTGCGAAATATTTTTCATTAATATTATTAGTACATAATTCATTATAACATAATTATTATTTAACCTTTTAGTTTAAATATGAAACTTAACTGTAATATTTAACTTAATTTTAAAAATTAAACTCTCATTTATGGCAATGAAGAATGAATGAATGATGAATGGCAGCAAATAAAAAAACAAGTTAAACAACCGTTATATTCTTGTAAATGGTCATTCATTAGATACCAAAAAGCATTCCACAAAAGCTTTGTTCCAGTATTCTAGTTACCGATCCGAATTCAATAAAAAGACAGCTATACCGTTGACATGCGAATATCGTAAAAATGCAATAAGATATTGCTGCGCTAACGGTTATTAAAGCTGTAACGGACGGAAGTACTTTTATAGTTATTTTTACACAAAGACTTGACCATGTATGATGAACAGTTCAAATATTCACGTCAGTTAAAATATTTTACTCAATAATTACGTTTTATTAACATGTCATGACAAATTTTATTTAGTTTTTCTCATATATTTGACGTAAAGATATTATAATGAGTAGATACTAGTTAATGTAATCAGAGATGAAAAATCGATGTCAAACAACATGCAAAAATATACTTCTTCATATAAGATATGCTTGTTAGTACTTTTTATAAGTATTTAATGTTTATTAAATTGTTCAAAGAATGTTATTTGGAACAATATAAGAATGCAGACTTCTGTATATTTGAATTGCATCTTTAGTTCCAGCTATCTCGATTAAAGGTACAAATAATGTAAAGGGATACTCACAACTTTTAACTCCGGAAAACAAAGAGCCCTCCAAATAGGTTAGTTATATAGAAGTATATTGTACAAATATACAATTTTTTTTTTATTATTGCTTGTGTTATGGTGTTATATTAAGCTTGTACTATTTAATGTTGTTATGTAGGTAACATTACACTAAATTAAATAATTTTCTCACATCTGAACGGTTTCTAGAATAAGTCTCTGAAAGATATAAGTTATTCTTTATCTATGTTCTGTTTCTATATCTTGCAAAACTAATATTATGGTACATAATTTCTTAAATAATAATAAATAATAGATTATCACCGTTTAAGTTGTTATACTCGAGCCAATATTCAGGATTGTACAGTAGGTATGCACAAAACCTTTTTAACAAAAAAATAAAAACGAACTTCAAACAAAAGCACTAAAGAGTAAAAAATAACTGATTGGTAGTTTTCATTTACTATACATACTTACCTAATCAAATATTTTCGAACTCGGTGTGCTTTGCTTGGTATCGGCTGGCCGCAGTTCCACCTATCCGCCTTCTGGCCTTACCATCAGATCAGGTGAACAATACCGAACCACTGTACTATTAACGGAAATAGAAACACTTGCAAAGTTTCAAGTCAATATGACAATTAGAAGTAGATTAAATTCGTCATTAGCTATTTTTCCACTCATAGGGGTGGTATTTTTTTTTTGAAATTTAAATGGGACCAATCTGGAAGTATGCACTTTCAAACAAAACAAAAATTGTCCAAATCGGTTAATAAATGACGGAGTTCTGAGGTAACAAACATAAAAAAAACATACAGCCGAATTGAGAACCTCCTCCTTCTTGAGGAAGTCATAAGAGTTCCCACAGAATAGCAGATTAGAAGTTAATAGCTTTTTTCCACAATTTACGATTATTCAAACAATCATTTAGAGAAATTAGCTTTTTATTTGTATATCGACTTCAAGAACTTAAGCTTAATTAGGAGCAAAAAAAAGTAAAGCTCGTCTGCTTAACTGGGCAAACAAATTACTCAAATCTTTGCTTTTGAATCAGACAATTTATCACCAAATAGAGAAAAAAAATGTTACATAAACAGAGTAGGTACATCTATACTAATATTAGAAATGTGAAAGTGTGTGAGTATGTATGCATGTTTGTTACCCTTTCACGCCAGAACGACTGGACGGATCTGGATAAAATTTGGCACAGAGATAGCTTATAGTCTGAATTAACACATAGGTTACTTTTTATCCCGAAAAATATACAGTTCTCGAGGGATAGATTTGTTTTTCTAGAGGCTAGGTGATCTCTCCAGTGACCATGAATGCTGTAAAGGATTCGAAACGTCGGGAAAAAAATCCAAATAAATCCGCGACAAAATCCGAAAAGATACTTTTATTTAAAATAAAAAAAAGTCTTTATTTTCGTATTTTCCTGAAATTTTCGATCACGATTATGGTCGAATTGCGGCCACTGGGTACATACTAATTCATATTAATAAAACTAGCGACTCATCTTAGCTTCGCTCGGGCTCGTCTAATAAATTTATAAACCGATTGAATAAATTGAGGATAAAAACTGCACCCAAAATGGTTAAACCGCTTCTCATATTAATAAAGACCCCAGTAGAGGCATTTCTCAGATATCTTCCATGTACAGACAGCGATCAGTTACAAATTTATTATACACTAGCGGCTCACCCTCGCTTCGCTCGGGTTCGCCTCTAGAAAAACAGTAATAGAAATCTATTAGTTCCCACGGGAACCGTTCATTTTTCCCGGATGAAAAGTAACCTGTTGTTTGACCGGCAATATAAGGTATCAGAATGTTAAATTTTACTAAATTAGGTGCATAAGTTGTGTAAGTTATAATAGTTTTTTAATTATCCCACGGGAACCATTTAATTTTCCGGGATAAAAAATATCTAAGACATTGTCCGGGGATATAAGGTACCACCATGCAAAATTTCAATTAAATCGGTCCAATAGATTCGGAGATTAGCCCGTACAAACAGACAAACAGACAGAAACAAAAAAATTGAAAAAAATCTGGATTTGTTCTATTTGTCTTCTTACATCCGCCTGACTCGCGATGACTTATTATTAGCGAATTTATAGTTTCTATACCGATTTCTATGATTTTTTTATGGAATAGTTAATAATGTTAACTTTTTTAATTAGGGATGACTGAGAGTGTTATACGTATAAACGTAAGAGTAGACAAATATAAATCAGAAAGCTTCGAACTGCTAAGCTATCGGGAGTTACACGTGTTATTGTGAGTCAACCATAAAAGATAGACATATGCTGTCGTGGGATATTTTTTATATAATTTTAAGAAGAACTTTTCCGTCATATATGATTTCTGTGTAGCTTTAATCATTAAGGTTGCACACGCGACGGAAGCTTAAAAAATGGAGTAAATTCTCCCGTTTTCCCAACATTTCCCTTCACTGCTCTGCTCCTATTGATTGTAGCGTGATGAAAAGTATACTTTAACCAGCTCAGGAGTATTAAAAATAATTGTACCAAGTTTCGTTAAAATCCGTCGAGTAGTTTTTGTTTCTATAACGGTTATACAGACAGACAGACAAAAATTTTACTGATTGCATTTTTGGCATCAGTATCGATCTTTAATCACCCCCTGATAGTTATTTTGGAAATATATTTCATGTACAGAATTGACCTCTCTACAAATTTATTATAAGTATAGAAGATATGTACATATGTAAGATATGAGGATTTATGATATAATTCATAGGTAGATATAAGTTAAGTACAACAAATTAAGTAATATTTTAAGAATACATAATATTTTCTCAAACAGATATTTTATATATTATTATTTTATACCTCGATTTTACCTGTAAATTCATAAATATTATTGTGCTTATGCATCACGTGCAAAAAGCTCTCGCATTCAGTCTCCAGGCAAAAAGTACCAACTCGCCGTGTGAAACGACAGTTACTAAGCTACTTAACTGTGAAAGTTAAAGTACTTTAAAAATGTACTTACAACAGGAAACGACTGTCATATGCATCGTATGGAAACTCTTGCATACAGGAAAGGCATAGATTGCTATAAAACTTACCTCAATTATACTTTTTTTTTACATATTCTTAAAAAAATACACGGAGACCTCCTTCTCGAATTCTCGATCGAACTTTGTATAAAAAGTTTTTTTATGTATTATGTAAACTTAGATAGTAAAATAAAATTGTTGTATGTCAGGATTTTTATTTTTATCTCTAACTTAGTGTTATTCACATCATAATAATTTTCATAACAGGTCTTTGAAATGAATGAATCTTTATTTACTTTTTATTAACTAACAAAATTAAGTTGGAAATAGCTTCGATTTAATAGTATAACAATTCGTATGTATCTATAAAATATGTGTATATAAATTTGAAGGCACCTCCAAAAATTTTATTTTGTTATTTAATTTATGAAATTCTCTACATTTGTACACTTTTGAATAGACCTATTATGATTACACGATTATAATATCTTAAACTAATCACTAGTTAAAATAAACTTTGGCGTTAAATTCTATATAAAGAATAAAATAATAAAGACTTATATAATATCTAAAATATAAAATAAATATAATTATTTAATGTATTATTATTAATATAAAAAGTAGTCAGTCTATAGTGTAAATATTATCTAAGTATTGCCATTGTCTCTTTAATAATAATTAAAAAAAAACATTGCATTACTGACTTTCTTGAAATTAAAAAAAAATATATTACTAATATACCTACTGAGATAATTTACATAATATGGCAAATCATATTGTTTTTAATTTTTGTTCAAAGATTTTACTTTTTGAACTATATAAATC